TTTTGGGGTGTTTTTGGGGTGTTTTGGGGTATTTTGGGGTGTTTTGGGGTATTTTGGGGTGTTTTGGGGTATTTTGGGGTATTTTGGGGTGTTCCTGGGGTGTTTTTGGGATGTTTTTGGGGTGTTTTGGGTGTTTTTAGGGTGTTTTTGGGATGTTTTCGGTGTTTTGGGGGTATTTTGGGGCATTCTGGGGTGTTTTTGGGTGTTTTTGGGGTGTTTTTGGGGTATTTTGGGGTATTTTGGGGTGTTTTTGGGTGTTTTTGGGTTCCTCGCACTCACAGCCAGGGCGGGCAGCACCGGCCGCAGGCGGGGACAGGTGAGGTGCAGGTGCTGCAGGGGGGGAGGGGCCGCCAGGAACCCCCCGAGCGCCGCCGGCTCCACCTGCGGGGCCCAAACCACGCCCAGGTGTCACCAAACCTGCCCAGGTGTCACCCAACCCCACCCAGGTGTCACCTGGAACCCCCAGGTGTCACCAAACCCCACCCAGGTGTCACCTGGAACCCCCAGGTGTCACCCAAACCCCACTCAGGTGCCCCCAACACCCTTCCACAGGTGCCCCCCGGTGTCCCCAGGTGTCCCCAGGCCTCACCTGGCAGTGTCTCAGCTCCAGGTGTTTCAGGTGGGGGCAGAACGCGCTCAGGGCCTGGGGGGGAGGGGGAGGGGACAGGTGTGTCACCTGCTGCAGGTGTGTGACCCCCCCCCCAGGTGTGTGTGACACCCCCCAGGTGTCCCCAGCTGTCCCCAGGTGTGTCCAGCTGTCCCCAGGTGTGTCCAGGTGTCCCCAGGTGTGTCCCCAGCTGTCCCCAGCTGTCCCCAGGTGTCCCCAGCTGTCCCCAGGTGTGTCCAGGTGTGTCCCCAGCTGTCCCCAGCTGTCCCCAGGTGTCCCCAGGTGTCCCAGGTGTCCCAGGTGTGCCTCACCTGCAGCACGGGCCCCACGTGGCTGCTCCAATCGCTGAGCACAAACTCCTGGAGGAGCGAAAACCTGGGGACAGGTGAGGGACACACCCAGGTGTGACACAGGTGTGACACAGGTGTGACAGGTGTGACACAGGTGACACACACAGGTGACAGGTGACACACACAGGTGACACACAGGTGACACACAGGTGACACACAGGTGACACAGGTGACACAAGTCACACACAGGTGACACAGGTGAAACACAGGTGAAACACAGGTGACACAGGTGACACAGGTGACACAAGTCACACACAGGTGACACAGGTGAAACACAGGTGACACAGGTGACACAGGTGACACACATGTGACACAGGTGACACACACAGGTGACACACAGGTGAGTCAGGTGATCTCAGGTGACCTCAGCAGGTCCCTGCACACCTGGGGAAGGGGGAGGGGTCAGGTCTCACCTGGTCTCCACCAATCGGAGCACAGGGCCCAGCACCTGCTCGGGGGGGCGGCGGCTGCGGGCGGGGCCACCCCGGTGTCCCCTCAGGTGTCCCCTCAGGTGTCCCCCCAGGTGTCCCCTCAGGTGCACCCGCAGCCACAGCCGGGGGTCGGCCGCCAGGTCACGCCACAGGCGGCACACGCGGGACACCCTGGGACAGGTGACACAGGTGGGACAGGTGACGTTGGACAGGTGACACAGGTGGGGACACAGGTGGGACAGGTGAGGGGCAGTGACACCCCCCCAGTGTCCCCAGGAGTGACAATGACGCTCCCCAGGTGTTCTCAGGTGCCCTCCAGGTGTGCCCAGGTGTATCTCAGATGTCCCCACCTGTCCCCAGGTGTCCCCAGGTGTCCCCAGGTGTATCTCCAGATGTCCCCAGGTGAGACAATGATCCCCCCCACGTATCCCCACGCGTCCCCAGGTGTCCCCAGGTGTCCCCAGGTTCTCTCCAGGTGTCCCCAGGTGTGTCCCCAGCTGTCCCCAGGTGTATCTCAGATGTCCCCAGGTGTGTTACAGGTGTTCCCAGGTGTGGCAATGACCCCCAAATGTGTCCCCAGATGTCCCCAGGTGAGACAATGATCCTGCCCAGGTGTCCCCAGATGTCCCCAGGTGTCCCCAGGTGTTCCCAGGTGTTCCCAGGTGTCCCCAGGTGTCCCCAGCTGTCTCCAGGTGTCCCCAGGTGTCCCCAGCTGTCTCCAGGTGTCCCCAGGTGTCCCCAGATGTCCCCAGGTGTCCCCAGCTGTCCCCAGGTGTCTGTCCCAGGTGTGTCTCACCTGCACAGGAAGGGCACGGCCCCCTCCCCCTCCACGGCCTTCTGGAAGATTCTTCGGACGATCTCGGGGGGCAGCGGGGGCGGGGCCGGCCCCTCCCCCCTCCTCACCTGGGCCCGGCGCCGCTTCCGGGGGGGGCTGGGGGGGGCCCGGGGCCGCGCTGGGGGGAGGGGACAG